TCTGGATGAATGCTCAGGAGTGTGATTGCTAGCTCATATGGTAAGTATATGATTATTTTTTAGGAAACTGTCGAACTATTTTCTACTGTACTTGCTGTACTATTTTACTTTCCCAACAGCAATGCAGGAGAGAGCCAGTTTCTACCATTCTTGCCAACATTTTTTTAATTTTAATTGTTCTGATAGGTGTGTAGGGGTATCTCACCATGGTATTATTAATTTGCATTTTCCTCCTGATGTTGAACATCTTTTCCTGCCATTCACATATCCTCTTATTTGCCATTCATATATCCTCTTCAGTGAAATATCTCTTCATGTCTTTTGCCCATTTTCTTATTGGATAATTTTTTTGTTACTGTTGGGTTTTGAGTTCATATGAATTTTAGATATGAGTCCTTTATCAGACATGAGATTTGCAAGTAATTCACCCCAGTCTTTTCATCCTTTTAACAGGATATTTTGGAGAGCAAAGTTTTTAATTTTGATGAAGTCCAATTATTATCATTGGAGTGCCCTCTGAGTCCCCAGCTGTTACCAGTGGAAGTAGAATTCTTGGGGTGCTGGTGGGAAAATAATTTCCAGGGGCCCCCATGGGAGAATGAGGTTTTGTGGAAAGCTTTACTGATGATGTAAAATTAAGGGATTTCTCCTCCAAGGTCTTACCACCCTCCATCCCGCCAAGCAAAAAGCCCCATCTTGTCTTCAGCGGGGCTAGGATTAAAGCCACTGCCCAGAGCCCCCATTCCATATTACAGCACAGCCCCATCCAGCTTCTGACTAGCTGTAGCCCATGTGTGGGGGTTCTGCATGGCCATGCGGCTGCTAAGGCCCTGGCAGGCTAGCACACAGGTGAGTGAGGGTTACCATGGAACAAGCCAGAAACAGGAGAGAGAGAGAGAGAGAGAGAGAGAGAGAGAGAGAGAGAGAGAGATCTTTTGTCTGGGCATTATAACCAGGAGCTTAATTCATTAACCTTCAGGATTTCATGGGCTTGCAGTGGCTCTTCCCCTCTAGCCAGTTATCTTTTCCCCAGGTTTGACTGACAGGCAAGCACCTTTCCTATGTCATGCCAACTTCAGTGTGCATGCACCATCTCCCCCTTTGCTTTCTTCTTCTTATTAATATAAATAAACTAGCTAATTATAACAATAACATAATTGTTCCATTTTTTTCTTTTATGGATCAGTCTTTTGGTGTCATGTCTAAGAACTCTTTACTAAATCCTAGGTTCTACAGATTTTCTCCTATATATTTTTTCTAAATGTTTTATAGTTTTATATTTAAGATTATGACCCATTTTAAGTTAATTTTTATATAAGTGTGAAGTTTAGAGCATAGGTTTTATTGCCTATGAATATCCTAATTTGTTGATAAAGACTGTTCTTCCTCCATTGAATTGCTTTTGTACCTTTGCAAGTATCAGTTGGTAGTACTTGTAGGGGTCTATTTCTGGCTTCTCTATTTTGTTCTGTTGATCTGTATATCCATCTCTCTACAAGTACCACACTGTCTTGGTAACTGTGACTATCAAATAAGCCTCGAAACTGAGTAGACTGATACTTCCAATATTTTTTATACATTTTTAAGTTATTCTAGTTCCATTCCATACAAATTTTGGAATAATCTTAATATCTAGTCACAATAAACCTTGCTGGGATTTTGATAGGAATTGTGTTAAAACTGAATATCAATTTGAGAAGATTGACATCTTTATTATGTATGAACATAGTATATATCTCCACTTATTTAGATCGTTACTTGATTTCTTTCATTTGCATTTTGTAGTTCTAGCATACAAGTTCTGAGCATGTTTAGTTAGACTTATACCCTAAGTGTTTCACTTTGTAGAGCAATTGCATGTGGTATTATATTTTATTTCTGTTTACATGTGCTCTCTGCTAGTATATAGAGAGATAGCTAATTTTTATATGTTGAGCTTGTATTCTGTGACCTTGATATACTCACTTATTTGTTCTTCCAGTATTATGTTGATTAACAATGATGAGATGGGACATTCTTACTTTGTTCCTGATATTAGAGGGAAAGCATTTGGTCTTTCATCATTAAGTATGACGTTACTTATAGATTTATTTATTTTTTTTATCCATTTGAAGAAGTTCCCCTTATGCCTAGTTTTCTGAGAGTTTTTTTTTTATCATGAATGGATATTGAATTTTGTCAAGTGCTTTTTCTGCATCAATTGATAGAATGATATGATTTTTCTTCCTAAGCCTGTTAATATGGTAGATTATATTGATTGATTTTTTTAATGTTGAACTAGCCTTGTATCCAGGAATAAACACCAGTAGATCATGATATCTTATCCTGTGCTGACATAGTGTTAAAATCTATGTGCTAAGATTTTGTTAAGGATTGTTACTTTATATTTATAAGAGATATTAGACTGTAGTTTTTCTTTTATCTTTCTGTATTCTCTTTGTCTGATTTTGATGTCAGGATAATATTGGCTTTCTGATATTAATGAAAAAGTGTTCCTCCCTCTTCTATTTTAGGGAAGAGAATATGTTAATTTTGGTGTTAATTTTTCTTTAAATGTTTGGTAGAATTCTATAGTAGAGATTAGAGATTTATTTTTCTGAAGTTTTAAATTTATATATCTACTTTTCTTAATAGTTACAGGGCTACTGAAATATTTGAGTTGAAGTACTTTGTGATCTTCGAAGAATTGGTTCATTTTATCTAAGTTTTCAAATTTATGTGTTTGATATTTTCTTACTTTCCTTTGATGTCTGTAGGGTCTGTAGTGATATCAGATATTAAAGCTTCATTCCTAATATTATTAATTTGTGTATTCTCTCTTTTTTCTTTCAGTCTTGCTAGAGATTGGTCAATTTGATTGATGTTTTTTCAAAAAACCATCTTATGTTTTATGAATCTTCTTTACTTTTCTGTTTTCAATTTCATTGATTTCTACTCTTATATTTACAATTTCTCTCTGTTTTCACTGCATTCCAAAAATTTAATATGTTGTATTTTCATTCAGTTAAATGTATTTTTTAATCCCAGTCCTTTAATTTCGATTGAGATTTCCTCATTGACCCATGGATTATTTAGAAGTGTGTTATTTCGTTTCTAAGTGTTTATTTTCCTGTTATCTTTCTGCCCATGACTTCTGGTTTGATTTTTATTATGGTCAGAGAATGCACTGTCCAATTTAATTCTTTAAAATTCTCTGAGATTTGTTTTATGGCTCTAGATCCTATGGTGTATGTTCTGTGTTTGCTTGAAAAGAGTGCTGCTGTTGTTGGGTGGAGTGTTCCATAAGTGTCAATTAGCTTCTGCTAGGTGATGATACTGTTGACTTCTTTAATATCTTTGCTGATTTTCTGTCCAGTTGTTCAAGCAATTATTGAGAGAGGAGGGTTGAAGTCCCTCTGTAATTGTGGATTTGTCTGTTTTTCCTTTCTTTTTTAAAAATATATTTTTATTGATTTCAGAGAGATCACTAAAAGGGAGAGAGGGAGAGAAAGATAGAAACATCAATGATGAGAGAGAATCATTGATCAGCTGCCTCCTGCAAGCCCCACACTGCGGATCAAGCCCGCAATCCAGGCATGTGCCCTGACGGAGAATTGAACCATGACCTCCTGGTTCCTAGGTTGACACTCAGCCACTGAGCCATGCCAGCAGGGCTGTTTTTCCTTTCAGTTGTAACAGTTTTGCTTCACATACTTTACAGCTCTGTTGGTTGGTTCATACTCATTTAAAATTGCTGTGTCTCACCCAGCCAGCATGGCTTAGTGGTTGAGCATCGATCTATAAACCAGGAGGTCATGGTTCTATTCCCAGTTAGGGCACATGCCTGGGTTTCAGGCTCAATCCTCAGTGTGGAGTGTGCAGGAGGCAGCCAATCAATGATTCTCTCTCATCATTGATGTTTCTGTCTCTCTCTCCCTTTCCCTTACTCTCTGAAATCAATAAAAATACATTTCTCTTGACCTTTTTTAAAATGACTGGAACAACACACCTGGGAATGCCAAAAATAATGGGAAACTAAGCATTCAATATTACAAGATGGTTACAAATTTTTTTAAAAAAAAATTTGATTTGCTAATCTTTGCACTGTAACTGCAGAGCTACAAGGTAGAATAGACAGTAGAACCAGGGGCCTAAAAAGATTGCAGGCAAGTCAGAATTTCAGTAAATACCCAAAGTGCATCTCTTATCATTTATTACATAGCTCTGGGGCACTTAAGCACTATTATCAGTGCTGGCAATTGATGAATGTAAAACTCAATATATATTTCCCCCCTGTAGTGTTTTAAAACTTTTGGTTCTGAAAAATACCTTTTGCCCTATCTCTCTGTCTCATTCTCTCTCTATCTCTCTCTCTCTGTTTTTCTACTAAATCTAGGCAGCAAGGAAGCATTCTTTCTTTTCTGTAATTTAAAAACTTTTTGTCAGGTTTAAATTACTTGGGGGGGGGAAATCTGAATATTGACTCCTGACAAAGCAGAAGTCCATAATCCATCCATTTTATAAACATTTATGCCAACCAAATTCCTTTCATGTCTCCCTATTAGCATGTTCACATTCACTCCTAGGACTGTATCTCCAGAAGCGCGGGAGGGTATCTTAGCCGATGGTTAGTTTTGCACTGTGATGAAGAAAACCTGTCAGATGTGAACTGGGGCTACCAGTCTCATAACAGACCACTTACTCACATTAGACCAATGCTAAGAGTAAAGCAGAATGACAGGAAATGTGAATGATAAATTAACATATATGTAGATATACATGTATGTGTGTATTATATATACACATAAAACATAAGCAAATATAATATATGTATATATACAATAAGTATATATATTTCCCACTTTGCCCTGTGTCCCCACCTCCACACACCTTCATGGTGCGCTCTCATTCATTTGCTACCAGCACTAGTTCACATCCATGTCCCTTCGACTCAGTGAGAGACTCCCAACCACTGGGCTGGGGCTGAGTAGAAAGTTCTCCTACAGCCATGCATTTAAAAAAAGAAATAACCACACTCATCCTTCTCCTCAGTGACACTTTCTCAGCTCTGCTTCCTTGAAAACCAAGATGAGCCACACTCACGCTGAGAAGTATGTGATGACCATGATCGATCTGTTCCACAAATACAGCAAACCTGATGACATGATTGACCAGCCGGGCCTGCTGATGTTGCTGAAGGAGAATTTCCCTAACTTCGTCAAGGGCTGTGACAGACGGGGCAACAATTACTTGTCCCAAGTCTTTGAGGAAAAGGATCTGAACGAGGATAAGAAGATCCAGTTTTCGGAGTTTCTGTGCTTGTTGGGGGACATAGCCATGGACTACCACAGGCAGAGCCATGGAGCCGCGCCCTGTTCTGGGGGAAGACAGTGAGCGCGCCCAGCCCCAGGCTGCCAGAAACCACAAGAAATAAAGTGTCCCTTTTGCCCAGAAAAAGAAAAAAAAAGAAAAAAAAGGAAGAAATAAAGAAATAACCGTACAATCATTTGAAACAAAGCCAAGTATTACTTTTAAAAAGCTACCTGCTTTCAATTAAGCAGGAAATTATCTAAGAAGCCACTTAATTTGCTTTGGTTTGTAGTCCCACAACTGCTTTATGCTGAGTGGAGCATGAAATTAAATATGTAACAACTATTCTAATGGTAATGTTTCAGAATGCTAGCGTTGGAGAATCTTTGGTATTCTGAGGGGTAACAAATACAAAAACATACAAATCAAAGACTGGCTGCATTGGGTTTGAGAAAAACATAAACTATTATTAATGTCCTCTATGTATTTGTATATATAGTTATATATGTTATATATATATATTTTAAAACTATTAAGTTTAAAAATGATTTTCTATTATACATACAGGAAGGGTAGTCATACATGTAGGGAGAAATCTCTCTGACAATAAAATGCCCCCACCACCCCCAGCCATGGAAATTCTTACACTGTTTTCTTGGGTCCAACTGTAAAGTGGATTACTGAAGGATCTAGTAAAGGAGAAGGTCATAGTGAATTTTTAACATTTGTTGAATAAATGCTAATACTAATCCCTTGTTTGAGGTATTCATCTTTGTTAAGAGCCAAGAATACATACTGTTTGCAATGGAGAAAGTGTTTATGTAGACATATAAGGGCACTAGTTTATGCAGGAGATTTTAGAAGCATTACTAAAGTGACACTTCAATTCATACTTAACAATGTTGTAAATGCTACATGGTTCTCAGAGACTCCTATTTATTTAAACATTTTTTACAACTTTGAAACTATTTTTATACTAGATAAATCTTTTCAAACACTAATCATATTACATGTAAACGTTTAAAAAATCTCTGTATAAATGCAGATAAAAGCATCCTTGTCCTTTTGTAGTTTGTATTCCAAACAAATCCTTTCCTTTCTTTTTTTAATTTTTTTTTTTTAAAAAACTAGGTTAGACATCCTGCCAGGTTTACCAGGAAATTTTGACAAACAAATAGAAGAATTTGGGTATCTTTGTCCCCCATGTGTGAAGCAGGGCAAGGTTGAACTGAGGTAGCTTGCAAGGTTCCAAAGTTACTCTGGCACTCATTAATTTTATGCTAAAGATGCTTAAAATTCTAATTTCTATCATTGAGTCTAATAAGACTTGATGATATTGTTAAAAATATTTCTAGTTTTATAAATTATTATCTACAAAAATTCTCCGAGAAGCTACAAAAAAGATATCATGGCAATTTATGGACCTTTGGATATTTTTCTAGGACAAATAGTTTCCCTTCTTCTTCAGTTGTTCTTCAGCTTTTCTTGATCAGAGAAAGAGCATAGAGCTTAATCACATAGGATCCTTGTGCCAAAATCTGTGTGACCTGGAGAGAGATGCTTACCCTCTTTTTAAAAAAAAATATATATTTTTATTGATTTCAGAGAGGAAGGGAGAGGGAGATAGAAACATCAATGATGAGAGAGAATCAATGATTGGCTGCCTCCTGCACACCCCCTACTGGGGATCATGCCCACAATCCCAGCATGTGCCCTTGACCGGAATTGAACCTGGGACCCTTCAGTCCCCACGCTCTACCCACTGAGCCAAACCAGCCAGGGCAATACTTAACCTCTTTGAGTCAAAGTCCTATAAACTGTAACATTGTTTATGTATACAATGGGGATAATGATTATTGTTTATCAGAATTGTGAGGATTGCTTGTGTAAGATAAGAAAAGTATCCTTTAGAGTGACTAACACATAGTAGGGCCTTATTATCATGATTTAATTGGCTTCAATTAATTGGTGGATCATTTTAGCTTTCTTTTCTGTCTTCTGTCTGGCTGTGGCAGGTCAATGGCAAGCACTCCATGTATTTTATTTTATTTAGTTCTCCAAACACCCTGATGAGATAGGTCTTGTTATTATCCCATTTTCCAGCTGAGGACATCAGAACACAGAGACTGATGGTAGCTTACTCACCATTTCAGGAAGAAGCAGGTAAGGGTGGCACTTTGAGTTCAAGAGGACTTTTTGCCTGAAACTCAGCCAAAACTTTTCCCTATAATAAGATGTACATGCATTATTGTCAGCCTGCAAAACATTTATCCACTTTACTGTGTATCTTTTGTCATGAAACATTAGTGACAGAGTGAAGGATAATACTAGTTCTAACTCTATTCCCTGGGGCTTGAAGTAGACAGACTTTAGGACATGGAATTTGTTCTCAGAATGGCCAAATCTTTGCTATAAAAAAAGATATTATAGAATAGTTCAATTGCATTTATTAGACAAGCACCTAAAAACAAATTTTAATTAATTAACTTATTTATTTTAGAGTGTCAACGTAAGAAACATTCAAACCTATAGAGAATTTTTGTGCGTTTATTTGAGCCAAATTGTTGACAATTGCCAAGAAGTACAATCTTAATGGATTGAGATAATGCTGGAGAGAATGGCAGTTTTGCATCTTATCTTATACATTACAATAAAAAGGGAAGACATAAATGGGTTACATGAAATCCATTGGTGATTAGGGAGGCAGAAGAAAGCAAAGTGGGGTCGGGGTGGGGGAACCTCTGGGATTGGAAAAAAAGTACAATGATAGACATAGGCTTCCTTTACATAGGTTCCTTTACATAGGTGGGTACTGGATAGTTAACAGTCAACAATAACAATGAGAGGAGTTGTGGTCTCCATCCCGAGGGGTCTGGAAAAAAGGAAGTTCCCCTGAAATCCCAAAGGTATGTTATCTAGATGTGGAAAGACAATAGACAGACTCAATTAAGGTGAAAGTTGACCTTTGTCAGGGAAGCTTCTAGCATAGGACATGACCACCCACCATAAACTGCTTTTAGTTTAAAAGTTTTAATTTCAGATTATCCTATGTGGTTACTTTGGGTCTCTGAGTTTCTAAGTCAGCCACACAGGCCTCCTCTGAGCTTGTCAGGTTTAGTATGTGGCCCCTTATCGTCCGAGAGAGAGAGAGAGAGAGAGAGAGAGAGAGAAGGAGGAGGAGGAGGAGGAAGAGGAGGAGGAGGAGGAGGGAAGGAGAAGGAGGAGAGGAGGAGGGAGGAGGAGGGGGAAGGAGGAAGGAAGAAGGAAGAAGAAGAGATATTTGTTCCATTTATTTATGCATTCTTGCATGTGCCTTGACCAGAGATCGACCGAAACCTTGGAATATTGGTGAGACAGTCAGTAATCCAGGACAAGTGGAACAGGGAAACTGAGACAGATAGATGAATAAACTGACAGTTGTATTTTAGCTCCAGACCCAGAAAAACAGCAAAACCAGGTGGGCAACACCAGGTCCAGCTGCGATTACTGATGACACCCTGCCCTGACACTAACCAATCAGTGGAGACCACGACCCTGGAGGAGCACAGCTATAAAACTGATTAATATTCTGTTGAAACCTTCCCCTGAGACCTCCCCTAAGATTCCCTCCTGTGAGAAAGAGATAAAACATCAAAACAGAGGACCCACTCATGCTCTTCCTCTGGGGAGCAGCTCCCATCATCCCCTTCCCTCTCTTCTTCCCTCACTTTCCACCACAGGCATGCACCTCCTTATCTCGAAGGGAACCCACCAGACTTGCAGCTTGGGGGGCAATGGGCAGCGGCAGCTCATGGCAGACTAGTCCCCTGAGCCTGATCCCAAGGCCCCCCTTTCTCTGACTTCCCAGAGAGCGAGGGCAGCCCAGCCCGGGCTCTCCTGTTGCTTCTTCTATGCTACGCCCTTTCTTCTTTCACTGTCCCCAGCTTTAATAAACGTTCCCTCATAGTCGCCTGGACTGGTATTGTGAAATTTTTCCTGCACAAAGTCAAGAACCCACACACTATGAGCCAACCCTAGATAGACCTGCTCAGGGCCAGGTTCCCTTTCCTCGTAACATTGGGGATGATGCTCTAACCAACTGAGCTACCCAGCCAGGGAAAAAGACAAATTTAAAGATAAAAATAAATGCCTTTCTATAGCTGGGGGGGTGATTTATTTATACACAAGGGGGTTTACTTTTCCAATTAATGAGTGGGGCTTTATGCATTAATGTCCATTAGTGTTAATGAACAATGCGTATGTGGTTTAATAGATTGCTGTGCTAAACGCATGGTGCTCCCTGCTGATACCATTCTAGTAATATAGTTATTAACAGGAGAGGAGTAAAGGGGAAGACTAGATATAGGCACACCATTTATACAGCTTTGCCAAAAAGCTACATTTAACACTCTCCAAGTCTATTCCCTGCTAATTAATGGCAGGAGGGACCAGACAAAGCCAGTTTAGACGCATGCCCAGTAAGGTCTGAGTGACTTGGGAAGGTACTTGCCTATCAATCAAACCTGAGAGCGAGTCAGTGGCCAGAATGGATGTGAACACTGCAAGCACGCAACATTGAAATATGTAAACTTCCAAAGGAAATGCTCTCTCTCTCTCTCTCTTTCTCTCTCTCTCTCTCTCTCTCTCTCTCTCATACACACACACACACACACACACACACACACACACTCTTTTTTCTCCAACTAAGGAGATATGTAGGGTGATAGGCAGCAAAAATTATTGGTATACTAGTGGCCCGGTGCATGAAATTCGTGCATAAAGGGGGGGTTCCCTCAGCCCAGCCTGCACCCTCTCCAATTGGGGATCCCTTGGGGGATGTCCGACTGCCGGTTTAGGACATCCCTCTTGCAATCTGGGGCTGCTGGCTCCTAACCGCTCACCTGCCTGCCTGATCCCCCCTAACTGCCTCTGCCTACCTGCCTGATTGCCCCTAACTGCCCTTTCCTGCTGGCCTGATCTCGCCCCCAACTGCCCTCCCCTGCCAGCCTGGTTGCCCCCAACTGCCCTCCCCTGAAGACCCGGTTGCTCCCAATGGCCCTCCCCTGCCAGCCTGATCTTGCCTCCACTGCCCTCCCCTGCTGGCCTGGTTGCCCCCAACTGCCCTCCCCTGCCGGCCTGATCTCACCCCCAATGGCCCTCCCCTGCTGGCCTGATCTCGCCCCCAATGGCTCTCCCCTGCCAGCATGATCTCGCCCCCAATGGCCCTCCTCTGCTGGCCAATTTGGTTCTGATTGGTTGGTTTCTATGCCAGTCAGCGTCAAAAGCTCCGCCTCCTAGGCAGCCATTGGCTCCTCACAGCACCCAGATTTGGTTTTGGTTGGTCGGTTCTTATGCCAGTCAGCATCAAAAGCTTCACCTCCTAGACAGCCATTGGTTCTTCATAGCCCCCACATTTGGTTCTGATTGGTCGGTTCCTATGCCAGTCAGCTTCTCTGGGCCTATCAATGGGGTCTGATCAGAAAGGTGGGGCTGATCAGCAGCCCCGGTGGAGGCCTGGAGAGAAATGGAGGCATGGCTGCTGGCCAGACTGGGAGAGAAAGAAAGAGGCAAGTGCTGATCAAAAGCTGCCACAGAGGCAACAGATCAGTCCCTGCTTCTCTCTTCAGGCCTCTCTCTGGCCCTGATTCTCATCCCCCTCAGCAGTCAGTGTTGGGGCACCACGCCTGCAGCTGAAGCAGTCAGCGCTGGGTTGCCTGAGTGCAGGACTGACTTCCGGTTGGTCGAGCCTCAGTCATGACAGGTCATTACGGCCCAAGGTTTTTATATATTAGGATTCTATACACATATTTTATGTGTATGCCCGCAACTGCTTAAACTGCATTTCTAGAAGACAGTTATGATGCCAGTGCCAGCTTCTTAATGTAAAGTTACTGCCAGTGTTTGAATGCTGGCCTTTCCCTACTTAGCAAAGTCTACGCACACAGCGAATGAGCTAAAGTTCCTGAAAGGAAATTCTCTTGGGAAGTCACAAAAACAGTACATTATTTTAGGAAAAAATGAGAATGAATCACTAGTTTTCTTATCTAGCATTCTATAGTTAGAAAAACCTAGATTTAGTTCTCTGCTGTCTATAGTATGCTCCATTATGACTCAGTTTTGCTTATTTGTAAAACAGGTACAGGAATATCTGTCTCTTTGCAACTAATAGGAATCTATATATATAAAAGCCTAAGTGACCATTATGACCAGATGACCAGCTGGTAGCTATGACACCCACTGACCACCAAGGGGCAGACACTCAATGCAGGAGCTGCCCCCTGGTGTTTAGTGCGCTCCCACAGTCAACCTCCTGCAGTCCCTTCCCCCGGCTGGCCTGCTCTGATTGACCCCGTTTGGCCCCGATCGCTGGCCAGGCTGAGGGACCCTACCCATACACGAATTTGTGCACTGGGCCTCTAGTGTTGTATAAGATGAATGAAATATTGTAATGTTTAAAAGAATAGTATTTTTAACAAAGACATGCACTATGAAATATCACTAATCAACACCATTAAAATGATTGCATAAATCATAAAAAGAATATCTTGTTTAAAAGGCCCTCTAAGTAAATGTTGGTCTAGAGCAGCAGTTTACAACTTGGATGCCACAACACACTGGTGTGCCATAAGAATTTTTAAAACAGACAATACCTGTTTTAAAAGGGGTCAGAGACACTGATATATTTTCCCTTAAGATTGTCAAATAAAAAAAAAATGACAAGAGCCAACACAATGATAGCCATCCTGTGTGAATGCATCAAAATTATACCTATACTAGAGGCCCTGTGCATGAAATTCATGCACGGGAGGGGGGTACCCTCAGCCCAGTCTGCACCCTCTCCAATCCGGGACTCCTAGCCTTGCTGTGATAGGAGCCTGTGGGCCACAGGGGAGGGCCCGAGAGGTGCTCCATGCACTTCCTGGTGACCTTTTATTTGGTCGTTTTGGTCATTATGGCTATTGGCCTTTTATTATATAGGGATAGTACACAAACAAAAAAGTATCGTGAATAGCTGAAATTTTTCACAAAACATATGTATCCCTGTAATGCATTCAGATCAAGAACTAAACTATTTATTATCAGCACTTAGTTTTACATTTATGTCTTTGACACATCCTGAGATTTAAAAAAAATAAGGTGTAAGGTAGGAGTCAAGGATCATTCCCCCCCATATGTTTATTTAATAATTTTACTACATTTATTGAAAACATTTTCCTTTTCTAAATTAAAGGAATGCAGAATATTTACCAAAATCAATTTGACTCCATACATATGGGTCTATTTCTGCACTCTGTTCTGTCTTAATGGTGTCCTTTGATGAACGTATATTCTGGATGGTAATATATATGTTAAAATACATAAACATAACTTTATAGTTAGAGGTTATTGGTCCTATTAATGAGATTTTTGCTTACTCCAAGGTCATGAAGATATTCTCATGTATTTTCTTCTAAAAGCTTTTTTTAAAACGTTACCTTTCACATTTAGATCTACAGCCTCTCTGGGACAGATTTTTACATGTGTATGATGTGAGGTAAGAAAAAAGATTTACTTTTTGTTCATGCCTTATCCATTGACCTAGAACCATTTGCAGAAAAGTCTGTCATTTCCCCCCACTGCATTGCAGTGAGTAGCCCCTTTATCACAAGTCAAATGACCCCACATTTTATGTTTTTAGTTTCTGGACTCTGTTCTGGTCTCTTGATCAATATTACTCTATTTTTATGACAATCTATACTGTCTTAATGAACATAGCTTTATAATAAGTCTTGACATCTGGAGTGTGTCCAGCTTTCTTCTTGTTCAGGATTGTTGAGATGATTTTTAGCTTTTAACACTTCCACATAAATATCACATTTCATTTATCAGTTTCAACGCATATACAAAAATCTGCTAGAGATTTCATTAGAATTGTATCCACCTATTGTTAAGTTTGGGAGCATTGTTAGCTCCACAGTATCGAGCCTTTTGATTCATGAACATGGTAACCTTCCATTTGTGTTTAAGCACATCTCTTCATATAATTTTGTAGTTTTCCACACAGACATCATGCAAGTTTTTTAGGTTTATGCCTAGCATTGGATTTTTGAAATATTTATGATGATGTTTTCATTTGTTAACTTGACTAGACTACAGTCCCTCCTACACTGGTCTAGCTCTTCAATCAAATACTACTCTGGGTCTTGCTGTGAAGGTGTTTTGCATATATAATTAGTCACTCTCATCACTTTGACTTCAGTAAGGAAGACTGCCCTGGATAACCTGGGTGGACCTGACTGAACGAGTTGGAAGGCCTCAGAATCAGGGCTGAGGTTTTCTTTATAGTGAGAAGGAATTCTGTCGGTGGATAACAGCTTTGGCCCCAGCCTATGGAGTTTCATTTCGCTCATGATCCTTCCTGACTGCCCAGCCTACGGATGGGATGTTGGGATTGCTTAGTCACCCCCACAACTGTAAGCCAAATCCCTGTAACAAATTACTTAGCTACCTAGCTAGCTATCATCTAACTATTTATCTATCTATCTACCATCTATCTCCTATTGGTTCTACTTTTCTGACCCAAATTCAGATTTTGCTACTGGAAGTGGTTCTAGAAGAACAGAATCTTAAGGATGATTTCTCTGAATTGTTGCCAGGCAACCCATGGAATGGATTATATAGCAAAATAAATACTCTTTTTTTGTGTGTGCCTTTGGATGCCCCTAATCAAATACCACTACCTCAGAAATACTAAAAGGTTTTAATCAAGGTCACTAGATAGCACAGGGCAGAGTCAGGATTCAAACCCAGATCTATCAGACTAAGGTCTTAACAGCTATGCCATGCTGCCTTCCCAAAAGGCACTGGGGATTTCATTAGATAGAAATTAATGTTTTAATGCTCATACCCTATGTAACACTACATGTCTAAGCAAATGACTTTTTCTCATTTTGGTAGTCTTGATTACATGATTTGGGGGATGTTGGATAATGGGAAGAAATATAGTGGGTTCGACCAGCATTTTCTGATAAGGTTTGGAATATTTGGTTCTCTTCAGATCTTCATCTACTCCTTTCTTAGTGTCTTGTTTTCACTTTTCTGATGTCAAAGAGCATATTAATTGGCTCATATTCAAACGCCAAAGAAGCTTAAAAGCCAGAGAGAATGCATTTAAAAACAATTTGCTTGCTGTTCCAGCAGACTAATATTTATGAGTCTTCTCTTCTTAGAAGGCAGGATGAGCACTAGCTGCTCTAATGGACTTGATTCCCTTGGTCAGCACGGGCAGAAAGTATTTGCATAGAGATTTGCAGAAACAATACCTGCTGCATTTTAATTTTTATAGAGATTGAAAGAATGTGTGAGCTGAATGCACCCCATGTGAACTTCACAGCCCTAATCTCCAAGGGAACCAGGAACTTAATGATGCCTCAGCCAACTCGGAGCAAATGCACCCAGAGCAGACTGAGTCGGACCAGGCAAGCGGAGCACAGAGCTCAGTCCCCTGGAGAACTGTTATCTCTCTAATTCTACAGTGTGGGGTTTGGAGAGTCTGTTAGGGGGAAAAACAGCCTAAAGAAAAAAGAGGGAGCAAGAAATGGCAAAACTTTGAGTTCAACAGAAATTAAAGGTAAAATGTGTGGAGTAGAGAAAGAACCAAAGATGTGGCCAGGAGGGCTCAGGAAGAGCGACAGCTTGACTCTGCTTCTCTGTATGGCAACAGAAAGATTTCTGCTCTTTCACTGTGCCTTAGACATCAACCTGGGGTACGTTCTTGGGAGAAACATTTAAATAATTAATGCACTTTGTTTTGCTGACCTTGGAATTTGCAGAAGGCTGAGCGCATTTGTATTTTCATATCTCACACGAATCCAGCGAGATGGAGTTATGTCTATTTCCCAGACAAGCCGTGTTCAATGACTTGTCTGAGATCCCCCAGGAGCCTGAGAGTTACAGCTCTGTATACTTCTTAAGTAGTGTGTTGAAGAAATAATGACCCTTATATATTTCCAAAATCTATTTTGGGAGTCTCTTCATTTATCTGATTTCAAACAACATTTTGAAGTAGGCAAGGCAAGTGTTATGATGGTAAATGTGCCTCAATGAGGAAACTGAGGCTTGGAGAGGTGAGTGACACCACGATTCAGCCATGGAAGGCAGAAGCCTGGGGCCACCTCCATCTTTTTCCTTCTGTGTTCTGTGACCTTCACCTCCTTGCTCTTAACATAGTTCCTCTCCCAGGAATGTCCACCTGTAACTCCAACTCCTGAGCTACATATGGCTTCACCAGGAGAATGGAGGGAATCCCCTACCCTACAAGCCTTTGGGAGGAGGCACAAGGTCACCGCAGCCAAAGCTGAACCTGGTCTGGTACCTGCGGGGCTCACTTCAGCCTGAAGCTGCTAGAAAAGGAGCTTGCAGGATGCCCACCAGCTCAGAAAAAGAGACTCTGTTCCCACTGGACAAGAAAAACTGATTTGCAAATACTACATATTTGGTAGGTGTGTCTCACAGATTCACCAGGTGAAAGTAATCCAGCCATCATTGTCTTTGGTTCAGCCATTTCTCAGTTTGAGAGGCCCTCTGTCTCCTTCATTAACAAAGCCATCTGCTAAACAGTCTGCTGTTATATAAAATATCCACTGCATTTTGCTCTACCAATAGGCTACTGAGATGTAATAATAGCTGTCGTTGATTGAGCGCTTACAAAGAGAGGAAATGCTCTAATTACATTGCTTCACTAAAACCTCTGGGGTCATTACAAAATCACAAAAGGGAAAATGAACCTGGGCCAGGTAGATGGAGGTGCCTGGAGTTACCTGCTTAGCCATGAGCCGGCCAGGGCCTGGGTGTGCCATGTAGTGCTGTGCACGTTTGACTTTTCTTAATTCCATGTACTTTTTGTCAGGGCAGGAAGGAAGGTCATGTTATACTGTACTTGTTGCCCTCCTAAAGATGCTACTGTTGAACCTTCTCAGGGAAGGAGCTGAGTCCTGTTTCCTTTTATTGACCACCTGAGCAGGCACCGTGCACTTTATTGTTACCTCACACCCGAGGCTCTCCCAAGCTTATTAGACTGCATCCTAAGGTGAGGAAAGTTCTTTTTAAGCATTAGTGCTTAATGGACTCCAGCTCAAAGCAACTGAAACACCTACAGTGTGCCTAGCACTGTCTGGGCCCCGGGAAAATGAAAGCAAATTAAAGCTGACCCTATCTTCCAGGAGCTTTTAGCTTTGGAGAAAACATTACATTCAAATGAAGTAGATAGACATTTTTAGACAGACCCTACCTAGTGACAATAAATAGAATAAATAATGCAAATTATAGATATTTGAAATAATTTGACAAAATGTGCTGTGTAATGTAGAGCAATGATCATTCAGAAAAAAAGATGACAAGTAGGATTTGAATAGTACCAAGGAATATTTGATAACAACATTTACCCTGGTATTAATGATAACCTTGAAAGTTAATTTGTTCCATGAAAGACACGTTTAAAAAGTGTTTACATTGTCACGTAAATATTTTTGATATAGATTTAGAGAGGGGTGGTCAAGGAAGTCAATAATACAATTTAATAAATTCTGATAAAGTCAGATGAAAAATATCATTTCCAAATGTAAGTATTCCATGAACTAATATAAAACATTACTCCTTAGAATAGTTATTGGTAAATACCAAGAATTCATGTGGAGAAAAAGGAACCCTCGGGCACTGCTGGTGGGAATGCAGACTAGTGCAGTCACTGTGGAGAACAGTATGGAGTTTCCTCAAAAAACTAAAAATGGAACTCCCATTTGACCCAGTGATCCCACTTCAAGGAATATATCCCAAGAAACTAGAAACACCTATCAGAAAGGATATATGCACCACTATGTTCATATCAGCAAAATTCACCATAGCTAAGATTTGGAAACAGCCTAAGTGCCCATCAGCAGATGAATGGATTAAAAAACAGTGGTACATCTACACAATGGAATACTATGCTGCAGTAAAAAAGAAGGAGTTCTTACCATTTGCAACAGCATGGATGGAACTGGAGAGCATTATGCTAAGTGAAATAAGCCAGTCAGAGAAAGATAAATATCACATGATCTCACTCATTTATGGAATATAATGAACAACATAAACTGATGAACAAAAACAGATCCAGAGACAGAGAAGCATCGATCAGACCATCAAACCTCAGAGGGAGGGTGGAGGTAAGGGGGAGAGATCAACCAAAGGACTTGTATGCACCCATATAGGCCTAACCAATGGACACAGACAATAGGGGGGTGAGGGCATGAGTGGGGGGTGATCGGGGAGGTAATGGGGGGATAAGGACACATATGTAATACCTTAATCAATAAATTAAAAAAAGAATTCACCAAATGTTAGATATGTATGATCTCTTTGCTGAAGTGTCTATCTGCTGGAAAAAATCCACCAAAAGAAGCACTAAAATATGTTATATAATGCATACTGTTCTGTGATTGAATTAGATTCCATACAGTATATTACCTTTTCCATTTTGTATTTTTGTCAATACAAGTAAAGTGTCTTTGGAGGGATGCATAGTTTTGTAGGCCAGCTCAATAACTATACCCCCTCAGGTAATTACCGGTAGTTACTTCACAAATTCACACATTTAAAAAAGAACAGCTATCCTTTTAAGTAATTAAAAATGTTTTCTAAGTACTTGTTTATATTCAAAGTCTGTTATCTTGCATGAACATTCTCCAAAAACATGTACCGGGCATTTTTCTTATATTTTCGGTTGTCAATCTGAAATGTACTTAAAATTTCCCATAGCATCAGTTTTCTTTGTGAGCTTTTTCAACACATTTCATATGCTTTGATAACAGATAATGTCTTGTTCTGCAATTACTTTTAAGAAAATGACTTCTGTGGTTTTGTATCTTTAACTCATATTAAAAATACACTAATAAGCCTGTCACAGGAACTATCCGTGTGTCAAACTGAATGTAGCATTCGAAAAATTCATTTGCGTTGAGAAAGGTGTCATTCCTGAGCACTGCTGACATTAAGCTGTTGAATTACTTGACCAGGTAACATTCTCAGTAATGGTTGTTTTGCTCAAATGACTTGCATTTTGTGGAATCTGAGTTACTCTGAGGTCAGACCATCACTTGCAAGGTGAGGAAACATTTTTGAAAAGTTTCTCAGTACCATGAAAAACATGAACGGAATAGGTAGACATAGTGGAGTGGAACAAATTGCCTATCAGGACAAGTTTGCTAGCAGCCCGTTCCCTAGAAAGGCATCCATGTGTGTGATTTTCATTCCTTTCTGTATACTTAAAGCCAATATTATGAAAGGAGTGATTCTCATAAAAATTTGGAAATTACATATGTTAGTGCTTCTAGTTTTAAATTGTTTTTTAGTTTTCAATTACAATTGACATATAATATTATATTAGTTTCAGGTGTACACCCCAGTGATTGGACATCATATAGCTTACTAAGTGATCATCCCACTAAATCTCATACCCATCTGACACCATGCATATTGACTATATTCCCTATGCTGTACTTTACATCTCCATGACTATTCCATAACAACCAATTTGTACTTTTTAATCCCTTAGTGCTTCTTTTGTTGGATTCTTTTCCAGCAGATAGAAGCTACTAGTTTATTGAGATTTTATCCTGTAATTTGTTTAGGACGTATTTTCAGGTACATATTCTTTTTGTGGATCAGACATTGGCAGCTACAAGGCACTTAAATTATTATATTCTGATTATCAAAATTCAAGCCCTTGAAATAGGATAGTGAGCTAATAATGTATTCCACATTCCAACATCTCATTTGGTGATCAATGCAATCAGAATCAGTGATGATAACCTAACTATATACTTGTCAAAATAAACTTATTAAAAATACATTAGTACTAAATGAAATCTTGTATTGATTTGTCATTTGTTTTATTAATAGAAAACTTTACACCTGCTCTCAAATCATCTAATCAAAAAAATACCCGTTTCCCAGACAGATTGAAGTTCAATGATTAGTACAATTCCTCTGTGTGCATGGGAGAGAGGATACTAGCTCATCAGCATGCACCATTGGCAGGCTTACTTTCAGAAAAACAAAGAGGAGAGCAGCTATGGAAATCAATTGATATTCCCGCACAGGTTGGAGTTGATATGCAAATGGATAAACACAGTGTTTCCATTCTGAGCAAGCTACATAGAATAACGCCAGCAGGGGTTTGATACTGTATTTCCTTCTGTTTTAGCTCTGTTGTCATTTCAGAAGCTGTGAGACTAGGAATCTCTAAGAGAGACATTAAGGGACTCAAAACCCCAGTAGAGAACTATGTAACAATCAGCAATCATACAAACAACAACAACAACAACAGAGCATGTAACAATACAAGCAATACAAGGAGGTATTACAAAATGGCTTTACAAATTCGGGAGGATATTAGTTTAGTATGACTTTGCTATATCATGAGTAATATAATGCTTACAGATATTTTTAAATAGTGTATAAATTGAACTGATCTGGAGCTAGTTAGGTAATAGTTTTTGTTTTTAATTAATCTCTGTCTTACTCAATATCTCCCCCAGGAGTCTGATACATATTTGGGGAGGAAGGCTGGGGGAAGCTTATTTCTAAGGGTCCCTCACTAAAAAGTTAGTACAGAAAAATCCCCGCTTTATGTAGCTCTACTTTTTGGCACGTCTCTTCATTGAGTTTTAGAATTGCAGGAAAAACAGTCAGGAGTGAGTGAAATTAGAGCTTTAAGGCCATTATTTTACCAAATGGAAACAGGCCGATCAGATCCTGTCTCACCGTCCGATGAGCAGTCACCTTCCCCCACAGCTTCACCAGCCGTCCCCCAGGAGGAGGCAAACAGCCTCCCTGTGTTTAGAACCAGCCCTGACTTTAGAAAGTCAAGGTTCGGTTACATTAGATTTAACAAACCTAAAAGTTACACTTGCTGTTGGTACTCTGCCCTGGAACCCAGTTATGGATTTCTGGTTAGCTCCTGGTGCCCAAGTCTCACCTTGCTAATAATCCCTGTTATCACTGACTAGTAAAGAGATGGGCCCTATTATCTCTATAACCCAAAATGCACATATATGAAAAGGGAGGTATAAAACATACAGAAGAAGAACACAGGAGGTCCGGATGTCTCCTGGGTCCTTATCCATGGGCATCTGTGCTCAAAACATGTCCTCAACCCCAGGGAATGAATTTGGTTCTAGGTCCCAACTTCCAGTCAGCATCCTTATATTGTAGTTAATCTAATCTGCTCATCCTATATAATAAGGAGGTAATATGCAAATTGACCACCACACCAACACACAAGATGGCCCCCCCATGTGGTCAAAGATAGCCGCCACAAGATGGCCTGCAGGGGAGGGCAGTTGTGGGTGATCAGGCCTGCAGGGGAGGGCAGTTAGGGGAGACCAGGCCTGCAGGGGAGGGCAGTTGGGGCAATCAGGCTGGCAGGGGAGCATTTAGGCATCGATCAGGCTGGCAGGGGAGTGTTAGGGGCTGATCAGGCAGGCAGGAAGGCGAGTGGTTGGGAGCCAGCATTCCTGGATTGTGAGAGGGATCCCAGATTGGAGAGGGTGCAGGCTGGGCTGAGGGGCACACCCCTCCCCCCACGCACAAATTTCATGCACTGGGCCTCTAGTCTAATTATAAAAAACAAAGCAAGTACCAGTGCCAATTTCATTAAATTATATGGCATGGCCGTCTGAACATGAACCCCATACAGGACTTCACTCTAGTCCTCATGTATCTGTCCTTGAGCTTTTTGTTTTTTCTTACCCTGTTGAACCTGATGATGTATCAAAATGAAGTTTTGTATATGTACCTTAGAAAATAAATGGTAGTGATTGGATGGTTAGGGATGGTCTGTTCACTAGAATAAATACATTCAAGCCGGAAT